CATAAAGATAACTGGCTGTTGCAGAAGACAAGATGGCCAGATAAGAGAGTAGCATTAGGGTGTAGCAACAAGGATGGAGAGAGGTGGACCAATTCCAGCTACATTTTGAAGGTAGAACTGACAGGACTCGCTAACAGATTAGCTGTAGGTGTGAAGGAAAGCAGGACAACGATGACTTTCCATTTGGGGACTTGAGCAGTTGAGTGGACGAAGGTGCCATTCATGAGGCAAGCAGAACCAGGGAGAGGGTGGAAAACAGGTTGATATAGAAAAATCACTAGTTCAGTTTGTTGCTGAACTAAAGGGGATTTGTTTGCCAGCATGCATCAAAGCCAAAAGAGAGTGCAGCAAAGAAAGTAAGGTTTATTTAAGTAAATGGCACCAAGCCCGGAGACACAGGTGAGCTAGTGCTCAAAGACCTGGCTCACCAAGGGAGTATAGGTTACAGATTATATAGGGCAAAATCACAAGACACTGCGAGTTAGGGGTTCGTGGTTGTGTTGGGAGCTGATTGGTCGGAGGTGAAGTAAGGGTAATGAATCATTTCTTCAAGTCTCAAGGACAGTTCTGAGTCTTTTCTGGAGTTCCTCTGTCCAGTTTCACGGGAAACTAGCCAGGGAGTCATTCCACCTAAGGGCTCAGGAGCTGAAATATAACTTAGGTCAAGATATTAGCCTGCCCGAGGTCAAGACCGTGTGACTATTAGTCAGATCTGGACTACTGTCTTCTGCTGGGGGTTACTGATTATCCAGGGGAGAGGCTAGGTCTCCGAGGGGTGGAAGAGAGAGAGAGAGAGAGAGAGAGAGAGAGAATAAGAGAGTGAGAGAGGTGATTTCTAGAGCTAAGATTTAAAGCTAAACATAATCAAAGTCATAAGGACTCCCGGTTTCAAGTATTAAAGATCAGTTTGAGCTGCTTGTGAAAATTCTTAGCAGGACAATCATTCAGGCAGCTGGATCTCAGAAAGAAATGAGCTGCAGACATACATTTATTATCATTATTATTATTTATGCCTACAGCACCTGCTCTTCCTAGGTGGTCTCTCATCCAAGTACGAAGCAGGCCCAACCTTGCTTAGCTTCCGAGATCAGACGGGATCAAGCTTGTTCAGGGTGGCATAGCCGTTGACCATGGACTGTGGCTCCACTGGGGCGGGAACCCAGGACCTTCCGTGTGTAAAGCAGACGTGCTAACCACTACACTATGGAACCACGTCCCAGACATACATTTTAAAACCATAAGCATATGGATGATATTTAAAGCCATGGGAATGGATGAATTCCTCTACCAAAAGGTGCAGATCCAAGTCCTAAAAAGCTCCACTTGGAGTTTGGATAGAGGAGGAGGAAGCATTGGCAATCGGAAGTCAAAAGGAGCAGTCAGTGGGAATAAGAATAAATCTAGAAGAATGGTATCCTGCAAGCCAAGGGATAAGAAGATAGGAGAAATGGCCCTGATGCACCAGGCCCCAGGGCTGGATTCTCCTCTACTGTGGCTGGAGCAGTGACACCATGCAGAGCCCGACCTTAGCTTTCAGGGGCACCCTAATATGCTCTGCCCCCTGCTGGCCATGCGGATATGTACCTGTCTTTGCATTCAGTGTCTTTCTACTCATCCAAACTAGGTCATCCTGACAGCTTCTCTGGGGACACTGAACACCCTCGTTGACATCCCAGACAGTGTGGTGTGGGGCAGAGGCCAGAAGCAGCTGACTATTTCAACCAGTGACCAGAAGCTTTTGAATTTTATCCTCCAGCACATGACCTACACCAGCACAGTGTACCAGCACCACAAGGTGGACATGGGTGAGAACCTGTCCTTAGATGGAAAATACTTACAGAGCCAAAAAGCACTACCTGGCCCTCTCAGTCTTCCTTATCCAGGAAGCCTGCCTACCTTTCAGATTCTTCTCTTGTTCCTGTTTCTAAGCTTAGATACCTAACTTCCAAATTATTGTACCCAGTACTATCCCCACGTTGTCATTGACCCCGTAGAAATGACTAGAGGAAAGGAAAGGTGAAATGCTTTCTCTTTTCTTTGTGAGGACAGATCATTATGCAGGACAGATCATTATGGAAATCATCCGATTCTGCTTTCTATCTTCTGCAGCTCTCAAAACCGAAGACTTCAGTTGTGGTAGAGGGCGGAGCCAGTCTGTACATCCGTTTATTGTCTTGGGCACTAACAGGAAAGAGGAATGTGGGAAAACTCCTAGTCCCAAAGACAATGGCTTTGTCTCCGCCTTCCCAACCCATCTCCCATTTCAACCCTAGGAATTCTGGGAAAACAATTCCTGCCTCCCTCAGGGCGGCCTCGCTTTCTTTTTGGATGAATTAAAGTCACCCCTTTCTCTTTTGACTAGCTACGCAGGATGCATTCCTAGGACACCAACAAAAAGAAATGAAACATAGGACAGAGTATGCATGACCACAAACTAAAGAGCGAGTTCTTTCTACCTTCAGATTTTCAAACATTTCCTTTCACAGAGTGACCCTGAGAGGTAAAATAGGGCAGGTATTAGTATCCCGCTTTTGTAGTTGGAGAAGATTAAGTGATTTGCCCAAGGCATTTCAGATAATAAATGGCAGTCAAACTTAGTCTAGACCCTCTAATTCTGTGCCAACTCTACCCTAGCAGATTCTCACAGAGCAAAAAATGAGTCTAAGAGGCATTCAGCAGGTTGCCCAAGGAGCCAGAATGTCATGTAGTCTATACGGTCATCAATTTCACCCCCAGCCAGCACATTCTCTATCATACCTTTACTCCACTATCGCCTGGGCTTCCTTGGGGCAGTGTGGAGAGTGACCAAGACACTGTGCTGCCCACCCTGACCTTATTTCTTCCTCCAGTGAGTTTGGAGTTCAAGTCCTCAGTGGCCAAGTTTCCAGTAACCATCCGCCATCCTGTCATACCCAAGTTATACGACCCTGGATCAGGTAAAGCCCTTGTCCTTGGGTCTAAATGGTGGGATCTTGTAGAGCTGTTAGTAAAATTCAGATCCCTTCTGATATGGAGGAGAAGAATTGATCAAAATAACAACTTTACAAACAAGCTTTGTTTTCAGATAAACAATTCTAGAACATACTGCCCTAATAATGCTTAATTATATTTAACTTATGTGGTTGGGTTTATATTGGAAAAAAAAAAAAACCCCTAGTGAACTGTAACATTTTAATAATTAATAGTAATAAAAACAGAGTGGTACTGGAGCATGAACAGATATATCAATGGAATAAATTGGAAATCCAGAATTCTACCATGTGATAAAAGTAACTTTTCAAATTAAGGAGGGGAAAGATAGATTATTCAAGAAATCATGTGGGATAACTGTGTAGCTATGTGAAAGATAAAACATTGAATCTATCTCATATCTTTTACCAAGAAAAATTCCAAATAGATCAAATATCTCATTTTTTATGTAGTAGGAAAAAAAGGATTTAAAAAATAACCCTAGAGTATTAGGTATTTCTAAATACAACACAAAACCCAGAAGCCATAAAGAAAATACTAAAAATATAAAATACATAAAATTTTAAGTGTTTTTATGGCAGAAATCCATCAAAAGGAAAGCTAAATGACAAAGCACAAGTTGGGAAAAACCATCTTTGACACACATTAGAGTCGAAGATTTAATTTTACTTAGAGCATCTGTGAATCAATAAGGAAAGAATACCTAATAAGCCAGTGGAAAATGCACACGTCACAAAAAATTAAATTTGACAATACTTTTGCCATTAAATAGACGCTCAGGATCACACTAAGAAAATCGCAATCGAAAACTACATTCAAATCAACAAATATTGGACAAGGAGTGGGGAAACAGGCAGTCTTATAAACTGCTGATGGGAATGTAAACTAGCACATTTCTGAAGGCAATTGGCAATATGTATTAATATTTTAAATGTGTATACCTTTTGGGCCAGCGATTCCACTTCTAGAAATTATCCTACAGATACCTACGTCTGTGTGAAATGATATTTGCTCAAGGTTATTTATTGCAGCATTGTTTGCAATGGAAAAAACCTGAAAAGTGGGATGCACTGGTTAACTCAAGTGTGGTCCATCCACATAATGAAATGCCATGTAGTGGCATTCAGAAGGAGGAAGGAGGGACCAGGAAGGTTAGGGTTTTTAAATTCTGATACAAAATGCTTTCTAAGATGTAAGCAAGGTACAGAAGAGAGTGAAGAGTAAGCTACCATTTATGTAAAAGAAAAAGAGGGAAGAAAGAATGTATGTACATGATTGCTTGATTATGGACAAATAAACAAGAAATTGGTAATATTGGCTGCTTCCTGAGGGAAACCCAAATAGTTGAGAGACAGGGATGGGAAAAAGTATTTTCATGGTATTGTTTTCTATATATTTAAAATTTGGAACCACTTGACATTTAAAAAAATATATTACCTACATATTCAAAACATAATTTATTCTATCCAAATAATTCTATTCTAAATATAAATTACTCAAATAGCTTTAAATGTCATGGACAATGATTTAAAATATTTGTTTAACGTAACTATCTCAAAAATAAAAGAAATAGCACAAGAAAATTTACAAAAAATCTTTTCTGGGGATTTCAGATTTATTTTAAAGATAAAGTGTTACAGTTACCACAATCCTGTGTATCTTTCTTTTCTCCGCTTTTGTACATTTAATATGTAGATTTCTATTCCTCCACACACATGCACGTGTGCATACACACACAGAGCATACAGTGTGATTTTATGCATTTCTGAGCTTTTCATAAAAGCTATCACACTGTATGGTATGAAGTTCTAGATGTGGACCTTTTGCCAGTCCGTAGCATGTCTTTCAATTTTGTTTCTGGGGTCTTTGTTATCTGAAAGTCTTATCCTTTAGTATAGTAAAATTGGTTATTTTTCTAGTGCCTTGTTCAAGAAAGTCTTCCCTAC